GAGAGCGACACAAACTGTAGGTGTCACATGGTTTACAATATTTAAAAAGACACCTGTTCTAAATAACAGTATCAGAAGTAAACGCTCACTAAGCGTTACAGTCCGAGGGCTGTGGGTGCCCCCTTCATCCTTAGGACAGTCCCCAAGTCCGTTTTCCAGACGGGGAAACTGAGCCCAGGGTCACAGAGATGCCAGGCGCAGGTGAGGCTGGAGTCGGCCGCCTTACCTGCCCTCTGCGACCCTGCTACGCTGTCCACTCCGAGGACCCTTACTGCAGATGCCCCAGCTCCTTCTACAACCCGTGTCATCCTTAATGCCTGGTAGCTGGACAGCGGCCCAACGGGGAGTCTTTCTGACACTCCCGAGCGGCAGCAGGCCTGGCCCTGTCACCAGAACCTGTGAAATACCTTGCTGAGAAAGCGGCAGCACCCTTGGCTACTTCCTTGAGATACTGAATTTCTTGTTCAGTATAGTGGTTTAATTGAGAGACTGACATTCCTTTTTTAAAGGGATTTCATGCTTCATTCTTCCTGTTCTGTCTCCAAAGGCAAGAAGGGGTGAGTGCAAACAACCTCCCCTCGGAGCCCCACCCGGTTCAGACATTCCTCGCCCCTCCTGCCCCCCTCCCCCGCTCCCATCCCGGCCAGAGGATTGACATCCAACAGCTGCACTAATCTCTCCCGTTGCTGGGAGCAATGGTGACAGCCCTGTGACAGGCCCGGCCAGCGGGCAGCCCGCCCACCCCGCGCCCAGGGATCCACCGGGTGCATGCCGCGTCCCGATGCCCTCCTAGGGCTGTTCGGCCACAGCAGTGCAGCGCCAGACTGCGCAGGTCTCCCCAGAAGCTGGTGGCCATTCCCACTCTGCATGGCCACCTCACGGGGAGCCCCTCAGGCAGCGGGGGAGGAGGCAGTCCTGACAAAGGCGCCCCCAGCTTCCGGCCAGCCAGGGGACGCGTCCTCCCCTTCCTCAGCCCCTAGCTTTATTTTAAATCTGCCTCCACCTGGCTGAAGCTCAGACCCCTGGGCCTCTTCAATACAAGACACTGATGGACACTTTGTTATACCCTTTCCCTGCTTTTAGCATTGTTTGACAAGTGTGAACCAGCACCATGTGAATCAGTTTAGGGTTTCCCTGCAGGTGCTGGGGATGTGTATGTGGAGAATGGGGTGCAGCGAGAGAGTCCAACATTCCTTGGAAAACTTGGGAATCCAGAAGAAGGTTCTGGCATGCCTCCCCACCTCTCAGCCCGCCCTCCACACCCAGACACCTGCACCACCTTGCACACAGAACCTACTCAGTTCCCTGCACCCTGACTCCCAATGTGGATTTAAGGGCATTGCCTTAAAATTTGTTCACAGACACCCAGGACCAATAGTTGGATGGGACCGAGGAGGGCCCACCCGGGCAAATGCAGGGAAGAGCCACGGCATCTGATGCAAAAAGCCGAGAGAAGCTTCCTGCCAACCGACCCGGCTCCCTCTGCTTGGACCCCAGGCCACAGGCCCTGAACTGACCCACTCTGCTCCGTTACAATTGCTCACTTACTGTTTTCTGATGGCCCCTGAGGGGCCCTGTGTCTGCTTTTTTCTTAAGTGTGGTCAAGGCCTGGCACACAAGCCCTTAGTCATTTACTGGACATATTTTAACTGAAATAATTTTAAAACATTTATTACCTGGTCGCCTTTAATCAAGAAGCCATGTGAGATTATACAGTAACTTTTGCCAAATTTTGCCACACTGCCACCACGACCACCTGACTTGTCCCCACTCAGGGCCCAGCCCCCACCAGCTGCAGACGAGTCATTTAGAGAGAAGGCGGGGGCCTCCAGGACAAAGCCCTCCCAGCCACAGGCCCCCACCTGCACAGCAGGCTGCTGCAGGCTCAACATGTCTGTTGCAACTGAGATGGGCTGTGGTTGTACCCCAGACTGCAGAAGCTCTGAAAATGAGAATGTAAAACACATCACTGACCATTTTTGTGTTGATTATGTTGAAGTTGTATTTTGGATATACTGGTATAACAGCAAATTGAAAATGACACTGGTGGCTCTCCCCCATTTGCATCAGTCGGTGCTGACCTGGACTTCCCTCCCAGCTAAGTTTGCTCACGGCAGCGGATGGCCTGTTACTCTGTTCTATTCTTATAACCAAGCACGACATTCAACACCGAGACATCCTCACACAGGGATGTCCTCTCTGCATCCACCTGCTCGCTGAATACTCTGTCCGTCACCTCTAGTTCCAAGTGCCAGCTCTCAAAGAGCCTGTGATTCTCCTTGTCCGGGGGGCTGTACACAGCGGCCGAGTTACTGCTGGTCAACACTCAGAGCCTTGATCGCTACAGCGGCTTCCTGCCTTTGTTGTGCTCCACACTCACGTGTCGTTAACTTGAAATGCAGGGGACAGCAGGGGAGTGCCCTCAGCATTTACACGAGTTTGGATTTCCAACACTTTTTATTAAGGAACAGCGGGCATCTTGCCAGCTTTGGGGGTGGGGGGTACAGGCAGGAGAGAGGAAAGCCAACAGCTGTTTTGAGTTATAAACTTTCTGTCTAAACTGGTAGCATCCCACTGTGGTTCTGCTGCCTTTGGGGTTTGCAAATGGAGCTGGTGCCTATTTTGGCTCTGGGTTAACAAGCAATCTCTCCCACCAGCTACTGTCACAGTTCACTGCCTGGCTGGGCCCTGCCGGCTCATGCCTGCCCCCACAGCATCCTCTGATAGCAGGCTATTATGTGGAGGGCAGAGCAGAGAGGAGAAGAGGGAAATTAACTATGTTCTGTAATCAACTCCCTTGGTTTCTAGACGCAAGCCCCACCCACACAGCAACAGCCACCAGACAGGGGACGGCCTCCTGGCCCCCACCAGGGATGCAAAGCAACTTCTTACGCCACAGCCAGGAGGGGCTGAGTTCCCTGCCAGACTACACAACTCCTCCAGCACCCCCTCCCCAAACAAAGGGCGCTGTTCCTGAGTGGGCAAGGAAAGCGGCGGGGCTGGAGGCTTAATGTCACGGCCTTGCAGTCACGGCAAGCGAATTATGCATCAAACTGTGTGAAGCAGCGAATCAGTGTCCAAGGCAATTCCCTGTCTCCTCCTCTGGAGAGGGAAGCCCAGCCCAGCGCTGGCTTCGGTGCTCACCCAGGAGCACCCACACCCTGGGCCCGGCCGGCATGTGAGCGGGGACACGAGCTCTTCCTCTGTCACTGCTATACACCGTGCTGTGCAGCTCTGGCTGCCCAGACATCTCTCCTGAGGGTCCAGTTATTCCCTCTGTCAGACAGAGTCATCTGGAAGAGGGCAAGCGGGTAGTTCCTAAGAAGGCATCTGACCAGAGAATAAAACATGAACTGAAAGAAAACCCCGGGAGGAACCCAGGGGCAGTGGTGTGTGAGCTCAGGCACCCTGCAGTGCCAGGTTAGAAGCACCGACGGGGGTTGGGGGCCGCAGCTTCTGTTCCTGCCTCTGCCCACGACTCACCACAGGGGGCTCATCTGGTGACTTCACCTCCGCCTGCTTAGGTCCCGGGTCTAGAGAACTATTTCAATAGTTGCCACCCACCACCAGCCCACATCCTGGGGATGCTGTGGACGTTAATGAAACCATTAAGTCAAGTTCCTGAATCTCTCAGAAGGACAGGGCCTACAAAAGGAAGAGGCAAGTGCTTTTTCTTGGTAGACTGAAGAACGACTGTTAAGAAGCAGGTTTCAGAGTCACAGAATCTCAGGCCTGGAAGGGACACGGGAATGAGCTGTCCAGCTCTCCTTCCAGGTTCAGATGCAGCTGGTCCAGGCCCCTTGTGAGCAGAGGGGGAGCTGGGACCCAGGGTCCTGCCCACCAGCCCACGCCCACCTGACGCACTGTGGGAGCCACCTAAAGACATCTTCTAACATTTCAATTGCTCAGGGTTTAATCTCTTTGTAGATTCTTTTTTTCCCTCTAATGGAAAAATGTCAAGCTAATGTGATTAAGGATATCTGACACGGCTTTAAGTTACTGGACAATTAGGCTTTCCCCCCCAAACACAAACATCTTTAGCTGGCACAGACCTTTGCACTCCTAACTCACAACCAAACACGTGTTCCCAGGAAGGAAATCTGGTCCACGTATCGGTGAGTCAGACAAACAGATGTCCAGATTTCTACCCTCTCAAGCTGTCTTCTGAAACCCAAAGCTGCAACCACGTATGAGCTCGTCTCTGCTCTGGGAACCTTCAGCTGGGCTTCTCAGGACCTGCTACTTTCAAGTCTCACATTGCCTGAGGCTCCCCTACAGCAACTTAAAAATCACACAGCAGCATTCTCAAGGTGGCAGCTCTACAGGAAAAGGGTACCCATGCAGCAAAACACAGGGCTTTCTGCCTGGTGAAAAAGTTCTCCAAGAAGGTCGGGAAAGAAAGTTGAGTTCTCCCCATCCCAACCCCGAAATCTGCTGGAGGTCTTATTGCCACCCACACTCCCCGCCTGTGACGGCTGAGCATCAGGAAACTGGGGCCAGAGAAGACCGACAACCAAGCCCGGACCAGCAGAACCGTCGCCCGTCACTGCTGCTGAGACAGGCTTCACGTCGGCTCCCATGTGCTGCACGGCAGAACTTCATCTTCTGAAAGAACCCCAGATGCTTTCTTGGGTTTCTGTGCTACCAGCCCAGTCCAAACTCTGCGAGCGCCTGACCTGCCCTTCCTGTCCTTGCCACATGTGCGCGCAGCTAACAAGCACTCAGATTGCAACGCCTTCTGTGAAGCGTGACAGGTGGCTCCACGTGCACAGGGGTTGAGGCGATCGCCCAGGGTCCCCGCCAGAAGGCAGCACAGCGACCTGTGCTGGTGAACCCTCCTGGGGCTGCAGCCACCTGCGCTGAGTCCTCCTCGCCCCGCTTCTTTTCGCAACCCCGGCCACCCCGACCCGGAACCCAGGCTGGAGTCACGGGAGGTGAGGTGCGTCACACATCATGAGGAAGAGCCGTGGAGCGCAGGCCCGTCCCACCCGGGCACCTACCTTAGCGGGTTATCTGAGTGGGTCTCTATGTGGGTCTCCAGCCCGTACTTGCACACGAACTCCTTGAAACACAGTGGGCAGTGAAACACTTCATCAGCTTTGTTCTCCCCGTCACCCGACTGCCCGTCTTCTACCATCTTAGGGGAAAGGAAAAACGTCAAGTCACAAGGGAGGCCTCCCATGGGGGTCTGCTTCAGAGGAGAAGCCGAAAACAGATCCAGAGACTAAAAGGAAACAGACATCTCCCCCCTCGGCGTTAAGGATGCTACTGACCAGCCCTTTGAGGAACAAAATCTCACCAAACGCTGCCACCCTCCTGTCCACCCACTCACCCACTCACCCTCTACCCACTCATCCATTCAACAGACGTTCATGGCACACCTAGCATCGGCCGGGCACTAGGGGTAAAAGTGAGGACAAAGGGTCCCTAGAGTTTAGGAAACACCCCTTCTAGCTGGAAAAACAAAAAAAGCCCAGGAACAATGAAACAAGCTCGTCACTCCGTCAGTGGGCTCAGCCGGGGGTTCTGCAAAGGAAGAGCCACTGCACGCTCTCCTCTCCAGACCCCTCATGAGACAGTGTGGGAACACACAGGTTGAGAGCCGAGCGTGGGTGTCTGCCAAGTCCCCAGACGGTGAAAATAAAGGCTGGACGGATTCCTGCCAAGAGCCCTGTGCCCAGAGGGGACCTTTTTAGCAGGCGCTGGGTCTTCCTTCTCCGACTCCGCGTCGTGACTCAGTTTCCTTTTGGAGGACAGCCGCCTGCGCTTCAGTGGGGACGGAGGGGCTGCAGCGGTAGTGCTGCTGGGGTCCTTCTCGTGAATCTTCATGTGTCTGCAAAGCACACACAGGCACACAGCGTGAGGCAGCCGAAAACTGAGCTGGTTTATGTAAAACGTTTTATATTTTCTACCTGGGCATTGGCACTTAAATTGTCCTTAGTTAAGAGAGAATCGGGTAGAATTCATACTGGAACTTCTTTTTAAACCCTTATAATCTCCTTGAACCCCTCTTAAAGCTCTCACAACCAAGTGCTATCCAAAAGCGCGGCTCAGTGCTGTGCTGTCTGTTGGGAGATATTCATGAACTTCGCTGGCACTAACGAGAGTGAAGACAAACAATCTGATGCTCTGTTCTACTTGCTCAGACAAACTGTACTATTTTAGGGCACATAATTCTATAGAATAAAGACTTCCCAGATACCACGAGTTTGTAGACTGAGAGATCGCGCTGTATTTGACTCCAGCGCCCACTCCCTGTCTACTAGTAGAATGTGAACTCCCGATTCTGGCTTTGGAAGCATGCTGGGGGTCAAATGTGAGGAGTGCTGGCAGAGCAAACGTCTGAAGGGCCTGAGGCCTGAAAGCCTTCCCATGCTATTCGTGGTCTTACACGCATTCGGAGATCACAGGAGTAGCCGGGACAATGGGATACGTTACACGCTGCAACCCTGACAGCGACAGACGAGGAATGCTCATCAGAAGATGTTACGTTCGTATGCGTACGTCTGCTCCCCCCAAAAAGAGTTTTAGGGGTGACCTGACTTAAGTGACCTTACTTTATCAAGTTCTAAAATAAACATCGTAGGAAACAAGGTCTCAAGAGCTACAGGAAAAGAAAGAACAGCATTATAGAAAGACAGTCAGTCTCGATTTCCTTACTTTGTGACATTAAAGGGCTAGTTTTCCTAATGACCATTACCGTCAGCAGCAGCATCTCTGATCGGGTTGAACGGTGCCAGGTGTGGGAACGGAGCCACAGCTTTTTATAAACAACTCTTGTATAGGATTATCTTACTGGAGACACTCTCAGGAATGGGAAAAGACAGCCACGTTTTCACAAGCAACACTGTCACACTTCTAAAAAAAGGTTCGCTCAGCTCAGCTCACTTTTTGTCGCATCGTCCATGCAGGAGCTCCGCAGGCTGAAGGAAAGGCCTAAGAAGCTTGTGAGCAGCCACGAGCAGCAACGCGGTCGTGCAGGTGAGACCCTGGACTTGCCTGGTTCTACACACACACCCTCCACGTCAGCCCCTGACCTGCTACCCACCCCCCCCATAAGGCACGCCAGCCCAGCCGTCCACCAGAAGGTTAGATGTGGCCCTGCCCTTTGAGGAAATGGGCCTCAGGAAGGAGGCTCAGGCCAAACCTCTGTTCTCTTGGGGGACCAGTGTGGTGGAGTGGACAGGTCTAGTGGGGAAAACGGAAAAGAATCACAGACAACCATCACGCTCACGCGCATGTAATTCCTCGCTGAGGCTGTTAGGGAAGGATGCTTTATGATTAGTTCCTGGTCACCTAAAGCCTTGAGAAAGTTAATGGAGACAAACAGCCTTTTCTAAGTGCACCCTCTATTCCAAGGTCACTGGGATTTAAGAAGACCATCACTTAAAACCAGTGTTTAGAGAAAAAAAGAAAGGCTGGCAAGTTTCTTTGGACATTTACTGCAAGGCATATTCCAATTTTAGAAATGAAAAAAAACCTTTTTTAAAGCATCTAAGAATTGAGGAAGTACAGTGATACTAAGGGGTGTAAGTTGGTACTAGAACCTATCCTTTCAGTAAATCACTCAAAATTAACTTTAAAAACAAGTACCCTTTTCTACAGCCGACAGGTCACTTGTGCAGGTAACATGAGGCTCCAACAGCCTGTGAGGATACTGGGAATCAGACAGACAGCCTTTAGTTCACTGGCTTGGGTCAAGCTCCATCGTTTCTATCATATGACACTAATATTTATAAAATGGTGCTTTGTCATCTAGCTCCTGGGATTTATGGCAGCAGCTGTTTTCACAGAGCAGAGGAAGAGGAGGGCCTGGGGCGACATTCAGTGATGATCTGCTGGGAACTGTGCCTGTATTATTACTCCCATTTTGCAGAGGAGGCCGTTGAGGTGCAGAGAGGCGGACATGCCAAGGCCTCACGGGACGGGCCCAGGTGTGCCGATTCCAGCCTGTGCTTTCCGCTAAACCGCCTCCCGAGAGTGAGCCTCGGCACAGCTGTTCCAGATCACGGGCCGGGATCTACGGCTCTACCCTGAAACCCGGATGCTTCCCCTCGCAGTGACTGTGGCCCCTGTCTTGCAGTTGGTACCAAATCCTAACCTAAATTCAACAGGAGAACGAAGGGTCCACAGCTTAGGCCTGGAACACTCCCACCCCCAGTCCTGCGTTACCACCAGAGGCAGGGAGACAGGCCAGAGCGAGACCGTCTCTGGGGCTTGGTGACAAGTGCCAGGCTTCTGAACACACCAGCCGCTCTGACTCTCCAGCCGAGCCCAGCGGGGGCCTCAGTTCAAAGCTCAAGCAATGCTCCATTTACAGTTAAATCTCCATTTGTTGGCCAAGACCTGGGGGTTCCCAGTCTGTCCTTCCAGCCACGTGGTGACCAACTGCTGTAGGCTCATTTAAGAACTCAGTTCAGTCCATAACTGAGCTGCCGGGTGCTGGGAGCTCCGGTCATTTCTGAAGCTGGATGTGACATGCAGTTAAAGACTCTCCCTGCCCCCACCTCTTCTTCTCCCCTGCCTCCCAGCAGCAGGAGTGGCCACATGAGCTGTCCATTTCCTCCCAGACACTCACAGGAAGTGGGGCGAGCCACCATGATGAGCCACTAATGGCCTCTTCCCCACAGAGCGTGGCCAAAACAGAGAGGGTGGGCCAGAGGAGACAGTGCTGTTTCTCCTTGAGAAAGCTTGGGTCTGGTTTCTTCTCAGGTTTTATGTCAAGGGCTAATTCATCTAGTTTCTGTGCACCCTAAGAATTAACAAATTACATTGAGCCTCAGGACTGGCAGGGAGATGAGCTGCTATCCAGCCTCCCATGCAGCACAGAACAGCCCTCTGCACAGTGTGCTGGCGAGACCAGCATTTGGTTCTGCTTGAAGACTCCGTTGTCAATAGGGCCAACTGTTAAAACCATCTTCCCCACATTGGGTCAGAAATTCCATTCTGCCTTTAAATGCCTGTCCTCAGGGGCAACAGAGAGTCAGTCCCCACTCTCCTCTGCAGGGGGGGCCCTTCAGATAGTTCACGGTGAGGTCTACACTTCTCCCAAGTTTCTCTTGGATGTGGTCTGAGCACAGGGTACCGGGCTGGGATGACCATATTCCAAGGTTGTGTAAATGGAGCTGGGGTCTTTGTGCACTTTTAACAGCAGTGTTACACCCTCAGATTCCCGTGGTTTCTTCACTTACACTGCTGCCAAGCTGTGCATCCTCCATCCTGCACCTGAGGGAACGGCTTCTCACTTTCCAGGTGGGCAAGGACGAGACAGAAATGGGCGGTGTTGGTGTGGTGCAGAAAGATGGCTCTCACACACTGCGGATGGGAGTGAAAACTGGCAGCAACCTTTCTGCAAAGTGGCTGAGCAACAGGGATCCAAATTTTAAATACATATGCCCTTTATTCCAGTAATTCCACGTTTAGAAATTTGAAGACCAGTAACAGGACAAAAGTGCAAAGACCTATGCACAAGGACTGATATATTGTTGTAACTCACAGACGGATACACTGCAAAAACACCAACCACCACAGGATCCTCAACTGGCTGGTCTTAACATTGTAAACTGGCTGCCCTGCTTCCCCTCTTGCCCCCCTCACCCCCTCTCGCTCATTCTCTACAAGGCAGCCAGAGCAAGCTTCTAAAACATGAATCAAATAATATACTCCTCTGCTTAAATGCCTCTGACGGTCCGTTCTTAGATCTGCTTATTCCTCGGGCCCCCTCTGTTGGCACTCTGCCCCAGTCCCAAGGCCCACTCAGGCAGATGCTCTCCAGCCTACCCCTCCCAGTTTTATTTTCTTTATGGCACATACTAGTAACTAGAAATATCATGTATTTACTTGTTTGGCTGTCTCCTTGGCTCCAATTGAAAATAAGTTTCATTATAACCTTGTCTTTCTTGTCCTCTGCACTCGCCCCTGGCGGCATGCAGTAGGTGGTCAGTAAATATCTGCCCAGCGGCTGGATGGATGAGCAAACGAGCGCCTCCATGACTGCTGAGTCACAGCATGGCTGGCGGGCTGGCTGAAGTGGAGGCAGAAAAGCTGCGACACTCGCATCCCTGCTACAACGTCCTCAGGTTCCAAGGCACCTTTCTCACTCACCTCACCAGGATTTAATGTGAGCAAACTGTATGTGAGAAGCCAGTGCCACAGTGATAAGACGTCGATGCAGGATGCCCCAAAGATGAACACGAAGGACCGGGCTGACGTCTTCCCTTACTGGAATTCATCTGTGTTTACGCATTCAAAACTACACCTACATCCACAGCAGAGAGCAGTCCATGGAAAGTCAAAGTAAACATCTGCTTTTCACATAAAATTCTAGTTTTCCTTTGGAGGCACGCCACGTCAGTTGTAGAAATTCTGCCCTATCGTGGTCTAAGGAAGGAATTTTATCACAACTCGAGGAGTCAAGTGAAATCTTCTCCCATTCCTAACACCGCCCCCCACGGGGGTTAGTGAGCTTCACAGTAATGAACAATAACAATAATAACAATATTGTAGGTGTTTTTAAAACTACGGAGAAAACCTAAATCTGAGTACTTTTTAGCACTGAAAGAAGCCCACTCTGAGTTCTGAGGTCGATGTGTATTTTCAGCTCAAAGTCTTCCTCCTGTCAATGTTATCATTTATCTCCTGAAGTGCGAAAAGACCGGGTTTAGCTAGGGTGGGCCGTCTGTAAGAACACCGAACACAGCAGAGCAAAGACAAATACACCTTGCACAAGAGCTGAACGCCAGTCCAGGGGCTGCAAGGAGACAGACCGACTCCTGAAGCACACCCTCCCTTCCTTCCCGAACTTCCTCGATTCCACCTCCAAGTACAAGAACT